CATGCGGGAGAGGGTGCCTGCCATGGAGAAAGCTGGCAAGGAAGAGGACCTGGCCCGATTCAAGAATCACTTGGCGGCCCTTCATGCGGCAGAGGCTCTTCGGCCTTCATCCGTCGGCAAACTCGAGGATGACCACATTGGCCAGCATCTTCTCACACTTCAACCCTTCTGGCCAGGCCCGCTGCCATTGGTTACTTGCAAGGGACTGGTGCAAAGAAGGTGTGAGAGATTGACGGCAGGCACGAATAAGAACATTGCTCGTTGCTTTGAGGTTCTGTGGCCCAAGTTGTCCGAAAACCTCTTCAATGCAGAAGAGGCCCGAGTGGCAACCCTGGCAATGAGTCAGGAGGACAAGGTCACATTTGCACACGACATTGTTGTGTCTTACTGTCTGCCGGAGATGATGCAAAACGATGATGTGGCTGGCCTGCAAGAGCTAAGCGAGACAATGCTGCAGAAGTCTGCGGATGAGCCCGAGTTGATGAAAATTGAGAAGGCAAAGCTCATGGTGCAAACGGTCCGAGCAGTGGGTGCTTTGGTGCAGAGCCTGCCGGTGAGAGATGATCAGCTGGAGGCATGGACCAAACGGAAGCACAATCCAGTGCTGTCCATTGCAGCCACCTCCAAGGTGGCGAAGCTCCTTCAGAGCGCCGCCTGGAGGAAAAGGTTGGACCGATTCTGGTTGGGCGCGAGTACCCAGGTGCTGCATGAGCCCGTGGTCCGAGACTGCTTGGAAGCTTTGAAGGGCGGTGATGAAGAGAAGCTGGATGCAGCCTGGGCCGACTTACAAGCCAATTGGGGGGCCTGGTCTCGAGAGTTGAACACTGAGACTCTGGCTTTTTTGGCTGAGGCAGTCCAAAAGCATTTGGCAATCGATTTGCAGAAGCTTCATTCAAGGCTGCTGCATGCAGAAGAGTCTGACCCGGAAGACACTGCAGATGCAAGGGCAGCAGAGCTGGAGTCTTGACTGGTGAATGATGTTTGCAGGCAGTGTCCAAATCATGAAATCCTTATACAGATGACATATAACCAGCTGTCGTTCTAACCTGTCATAAAGAGGTTAAATGAATTTAAATGGTAACCCTTGCAGCTATGCGGGTAAACTGCAGATGTGCAAATGCAAATACCAGTTACAAATGAAGTACTAGGGTCGTGCACAGTGCTTCTTCTCAATCCATGAACAAGGACCCAACGTTTGCTTGAAGAGAAAATTTGTGGGTACCACTGAGGTCCGAGTCTTCAACCTTCGAGAGGGCTGGGCCAGGAAAGTCGCGATCCTGGGTCAGAGCTTTTCTCTAGAAAGAGAGAACTTCCAGTCTACCATCGACAAGCTCAATGTGCGACTGAGAAGTCGCAAAGCACTGGCTTGGCTCGATGCTGCACTGGACCCAGGAAAAGAACTTTCGCCGGAAGATGTGGAGTCTGCTACAGCGGACATTAGCGCAACTTTCCTCGCAAATTGTTCTGTTGCAGTTGGTCTAATTTCACTTAGCCCATTTGTAGGACCTGGGACAGGACACAGGACTTAGACTCTCATGTCCCAGGTCTGGAAGCGGCCTTGACAGGGCAAGTCTTTATTATTCCTATTCTATGGAGATTGAAGTTCATAGCTTTGTCAACTTGATGTCTCATGTTGCAGAGAGCAATTCTGCCTGGGTCATGCCAGGCTGCTTGGACTCCCCGGCCGGTGTTCACATCCCTTCACTCCCATAATAAGCCGACAGCAACTTCCAGGACCCAAATTGCATAGCAAAAGCCATGGACATTCTCATAGAACTTGGAACCCTTAGAGTGCCTCAGAATCCTGAGGATGCAACAATTGACTTGGTTCATCTGCATCAGTTGAAGTGGATACATGGCTGTCGATCTATGCAGACCTACTTCCTATGTGTTCGGGCATACTGCCATCATGGAATGACTCTAGCTAGCGACCTTGGTCCCATTGCACAATAGGTTCAACAGTCAGTCACCAGCACTAGCCACTAGCCAGCCACTAACTACTAGTCAGCCACAACCCAGTTATCACATGTCGCAGTGTTTAAAATGTGCGTAACGTTTAACGGGACGAGTTTGCATTATCCCGCCAACACAGGACAGTAGGACAGCTCAAGGTTTTTGGGACATCAAAGGCCTCGTCGTAGAGTGTGCATATTGCATTGGAACATCTCAGGCACTTTGCCACGTGGGTATTGCCGGCAAAAGCACCGAGGCCCGAGCCTGGTTGGACCGACTGGTCAATGATCCGGCTCTGGGAATTGCAACGTGCGAGCTGGCAATTGCGGTGGTGAAAGCTATGATGATTCCACAGGATTCAGAGCAGCTGCCGAGGCTTTCAAAGACTCTGACAGGGTTGAAGATTGAACACCATGTGTCGTCCGGGCCCGGTCATGACATCGAAAGCCTCAGTGCCCTGATCAAGTCTTGGGATGACTTGCAAGTGGCATCATATAAAGATCTCGAGGAGGCAGTTGCCCAGGCCCGAGTTTGTCTGCAGACGAGCAGCCATGATGCATTCCGCGTGCAGCTGCAAAGTTCATTCCAGGCCTTCTCGGACCTGAAGCTTCATGCAGGAGGGACCGAGAGCGGCGGAAACTGGAAGGCTGATTTGCCCAGCGGCCCGAGCGGCCCGATGTGGGATGCGCTGTGCACACTTGCAAGGCAGACAGTGCTCAGGGACCGACTCCAACCATTCCACAAGGTCTTGGACAAGCACTTTGCTTCAGTCCAGAAGTCCTTCGCCGAGCTGCAGGAGGCACTGTCGTGGCCAGATCTGCCGGCTGAGGCCCAGGAGGCCCGAGATCTTCTTGCTCAGGGGCCTGAGGTTTTCCAGCTCGCACGGATCACCGGGACCGAGGTCTATTTCATGGAGACCATTCTCTTGGTCCGATCCGACAGGCAGAGGGCCCGATTGAAGAAGCGGCTCGACTCGCTGAAGGAGTTTGATGTGCCTGTGAAGCAGGTGCATCCTTTGATTTCGCAGAAGGTCAATGAAATCCTAGGCGAGGAGTAAGGACTTGAGGCCGACCAGGAGGGCCGACTTCACAGGGCCCGACTGAAGAAACGGAGCGGCACTGTTCTGTTAATGATGGACTTGCGGCCGACCAGGGCCGACCATCTTCACAGGGCCCGACTCAAGAAACGGAGCGGCACTGTTTTGATACTGTTAATGATTAATGTGCCTTGAAAGCAGGTGCATAAGTTCATGCTGGGGGAAGCAATGCTGGGGGAAGCAGAAAAAAAGAGCATCTGCATGAGTTTCAGTAGGTGGTGGCAGAATTTGGGCACAGAAAGTGCAGTGTCTCTCTCTTTCTCTCTCTTTGTCTCTCTCTTCTCCTCTCAAGTTTTTGATCTGCCAGGTGATCGCAAAGCTTCGATGATGCACGCATTTGTCGGCGAAAACAAGGGCCGTGTGTCATGCAGGGATCATGCCGGGGACATGGTTTAGGCTGCCGGTGTCAAGCCGTAGGGTAGGATGTTTATGGGCATGATCATGCCCATGATCATGCCTCATGTAGCCTGTAATAGGTTAGGCAGGAATGTGTCAAGCCTTACCCTAAACTCTAAAGACACCTTAGGTATCGACCTTCAAAGTCGGCAACCGCACATGCTATGAGTTCCTCGGTTTCAGGATTTCAGGTTTAGGGCTTGGGGTTTAGGGGTTCGGGGTTTACAGTTTATAGGGTTTACAGAGTGCTTAATTGTGGGTTTAGGGTTTGGGGTTTAGGGGGTGTGCGAGCATGCAACTAGATTTTTGTTGTTCGTCTGTGGGGTTGACCGGCTTTGAATGCTTTCACGCAATCTTAACGATAATGAGTCCGCATAATGCTTTCTGGTTTTCCCCTTCTAGGGCCCTTGTGCCCCGAGTGGTTTAGCTACGTCTGGCTGTTTTTTGGTTTGGATTGTTTTTTGGCTGGGGCACGTGCCACTTTGTTCTACAATTTCTCTGATACAGGACTCTCGTCGATGAGTCAAAACCTTAAAGCCTAAACCCTAAACTCTAAACCTTAAAACCTAAACCAAGGCTAAGGCTTCAGGTGCTTTAGGGGTTCCAGGTTGAGGGTTCAGTGTTCAGGGCGTGTTCTGGAATTTCGGGTTTAGAGGGTCCAGGTCTCGAAGTTGAGGTAGAGCATTTGTGGTCTAGGCAACAAGAGGTGGGTTTCAATTTCACAAACATGTTTCAAGATGCACTGCATCGGCTTTCAACCTAAGCAATACCAGAGCGTTCCTCAGAATCCTGTCTGGTACAGCTAGCAACTTGCAAGCAGCCCTTGCATTGAATCCGTGCGTCCATCATTATTCCAATAGTTAGAGTTAAGAATACTTAGTATTTGTCCTCCGAGCAGTAGTAGGGGTTGGAGGAGCAGAAGCAGGAGCAGGAGCAGGAGCAGGGGCAGCAGCGGCGGCTGCGGCAGCAGCAGGAGCAGCAGGGGCAGCAGTCGCAGTCGTCGTCGTCGTCGTCGTCGTCGTATTCGATGTGTTAGTACCAGTAGCGGAAGTTGCAGTGGTTTCAGTAAACACAGAATGCAACAACACAAAAACATGCTGATAACTGTTACCCGTCGAACTGAGTAACTACAATAGCAGCATTCTTGTCAGCAGTATAGCAGCGATCATGCGGATGTCGGAAAGTTCGCCGCCCTAAACCTTAAGTTTAAATTTCAAATTCTAAACCCTAAACCCTAGACCCCTCTCTGCGAGACTTGTTCGCCTTATCGCTCAGACGCGAAGAAGACAGCTGAGCCTCAGAAACACGCCCGGAGCAAGCTCAACTCAAACCACCTATAGTCTCCATTGTAGTTCCATTTTTTGGTTTAGCCAAATTAGGGATCCGAAAAGGGAGCCCCAAAAAGGAACTACAATGCAGACTGTAGGCAGAGCCCCTGAACCGTACTTGGAGGATCATGGGACTTAGTGTTATGCGTACCTTAGTTGGTGTTATAAGCAACCATAAGTATAGTTACCTTAATTACTAAGTCCCATGACCCTTTAAGAACAGCAACATGCCTCCGGATGCAAGGTGGGCGTCATACCACCCGGGCGACTGGTTCACCATGGTGTCGGCCGCTTTGCCGACCTAATGTAGGCACCTGATTAAGAAACCTTGGGTGTTTATTAGGGTTCTAAAAGGGTTCCTTTCAAGGGATCGATGAGGGACCTATAAAGGGTTTAGGGTAGGAACCTGATTAAGAAACCTTGGGCCTTTCTTAGGTATAGGGCCAGGTTTGGTTCCTATATTATCGGGTTTGGGGCACAGGGCTTACGGGCAATCATTCAGGATCTTGGCTTTGCATAGTTAGAACGGCGAGTTTTGCAGGCGAGCTTGTAATTACGATTCGGGGTTTAGGGCGGCAGCTTTGTTTTTTCGCTGTTTGACGAGTTTTTTGTTTCCCTTTCCTACCCTGCTGCCCAGGACAATTGGAGCTTGGACGCCAAAGGAGTACCCTGCGTGTATGAGGACAAGTTCAACGCTGTCTTCAGGCAGCTTCATCGAGCTGATTGGTTATAATTTAGGGGCCTCAATGATTACCTATGCTGTTTGGCGGGTTCCTAGTTATATCTTTATATGTATATCTATATGTATATCTATATGTATATGAGTTTTTTATAGTGGACCCAAAACCCTATTCTAATGATTAAGACCTCGATACTACATTTGCCGTGGGATCAAAGCCGAATCAGCACAGAAGGCAACAAGTCTGCAGTCCTGTCCCCTACTTGGACGATCATGGGACTTAGTAAGTACGGTTATAAGTACCTTAATTGGGGTTATAAGTAAATATGAGTATAGTCTTAATTATAACCCTAGTTACTAAGTCCCATGACCCTTTAAGTAGTCCCTGAACCCCGTCTTCCCAACCGCAACTCCTACACCCCGAAGCTTAAAATCGCCGAGTCCGAAGCCCCAACTCCCGCACAATCTCTTCCCGGACCTTCAACTACCCTCAAAACATGATAATTCTCAAAAACCATCTTTTCCGGACCATGAAGGTTTCTGTTGTTCCAACGACCAACGAAGGTCAAAAGAGTCATCAACTCTAACACGCAACTCCTGTAAACATGGACAAAGGGGACAATTTCCTTAAAACCGTCCGGAAAGAGAGAATGCTAAAAGGAACACCATACCCTAACTTCACGCGATAGGCTTTAATCCGGCAGGCGGCTGGGTCTTGCGCACAAGTAGCTGAGCTGCAATCGGCAGGCTCAGGCACAGTTCTTGTTGGAAGAGAAGGTTTAGAGCGTACTTGGAGGATCATGCAACTTAGTAAGTACGGTTATAAGTACCTTAATTGGGGTTAATTATAAGTAAATATGTATAAGTACAGTTATCTTAATTATAACCCTAGTTACTAAGTCCCATGACCCTTTAAGCAGAGTTTCGGTTTTAGGGTTCAAGGTCTCTGATGCTGTTTTGTTGGACTGTGTAGTCAAGATCGTGATAGTCTACGTGAGGGTACCCTCAAGTTCGGTTCTATGCACAGCTGCATCTAGGCTCAAGCTTAGTCGGAACTGGAAGTAGCCAGGGAACATCCCCTAAATCAAGGCAAGAAGTCCTTTGTAGTTGAAGAGCTTAGGGTGCCTTCATAAATTCATTCTAAGAAGACCCAGAGAATTACACGCCCTCCATCTGCAGCATGAGCCTGGAACAAGTCTGTGAAGATGTGGTGGATACGAACCCTCATACCTGACCTAAACCTTCAGCATCCTAAAACTCCCAGCCCCAAACCCTAAGTTAAGGGTGTTTGCCTAAACCCTCACACTCTCGGAACCGCCTCCAGAGGCTTACCTTCGACATAGTTTCGTACGACACGGCTCCCGAGGCAAGGTGCGTGCTTGGGGCCGGTTTGATCTTCCAGGGTTCAGAGTGTAAGGTTTAATGCTAGGTGGCAACTTGGGAAACTGTTTTATTTCCCTTATGGTTCCTATAGAGGTACCTATTCATAAATACTTCTCAGAGCCCCAAAACTACAACCCAGAATTCCTTTGTTTAGAGAGGAGTCGGGATTATCACTATCTGCATAACGCGCCGTCAAACATGCCAAAACCCCATTGTTACTATGCAGGCCCGTATGTTAGGGTTATTTATAAGGTCTGAGGGTTTGTGGGTTAGCCTTGCCGAACCTGACCCAACCTGGAACCCTGTTGACAACTATTCATGAGTAGAGTTTACTATCTGTGGTTGGTCTAGTCTAGGGGTTTCTGTAGCTCACAGGGTCTTGGGCGTGAGTGTTAGGTACAGCCTTGTGCATCTCCTGAGTTTAAATCTAGCTCTTACTCTAGTGTGAATGTCGTGGAAAGGATCTCATCAAGGAGAGGCCACAGCATACTTACGACTGCTTACGACACCCTACAGTATCCGAGAAACTCGCCAACGAATGACAACACAACCCTAGTTCTACCTATAGTCTCCATTGTAGTTCCTTTTTGGAGTTACTTTATAGAATCCTACTTATACCGTTGGTCAAACTACAGTGGAGACTGTAGGTAGACTCCAGCCATCCCTGCAAACACAGAGCCCGATGTGCAGAATCTCCGAAAAGCCCGGCAAAAAAAGAAAAAAAACAGCTGCCGGCGCAACACTCAAGGCCCCACAAACCCTAAAGGTTGCCTAAATCCTGCACCACTGAACCCATAGACCCCTAAGTATATTCCAAATCCAAACCATCCGGAATCCCGATTCCTCAATCTCTTAACCCCTGTTTACCAAACCATACTAGCCATACTAAACCTCTGAGCCCGAAAGACGGCTCGCTTTTACAGCGTAAAGCCGAAGCACGCACACTACAGGGGCTTAAGTACGTACCAATACTATTTTGGGATTCCTCATTATACATACAGTATAGTATACCCTAGAACCCTATTCTAATTATAAAGGCCCCTTTATTATCATAGAACCCTCATAGTACAGTAGCCCTCCTAGACCCCTCTGAAAGGAACCCTTTTAGGGAACCCTATTCTAATTATTAAGGCCCCTATATCCCCAAATCCCTTAGAGAGCCCGTATAGACCCCTTTTTGAGGATCCCTTTAATGGGGAAACAAATACTCTATTTACTAAGGCCCCTTACTAAACCACATTACTCCTTATGGTAATCCCTATAGACTCCTTATAGACGAACCCTTAAAGGTACCTTGTTGCATTTATTATAGTAGAAGCCAGAAAGTTGAAACATCATTATCCCCATGCCCTTAAGGTAAAGTAGAAGGGATCCTAGCACTAATCCTCCTAAAGCCATGTTCCAACTTTCTGGCTTCTACTATTACAGCCCCCCAGATTAGTCGACCCGAGCCCTAAACCCTAAACCCCTAAACCCCTAAACCCTAAACCCTAAACCCCTAAACCCCTAAACCCCCAAACCCTAAACCCAAGCCCAGACCGACGACATCTTTGCCATCCCGAAAGGCGCCGCGGCTGGGGATCAGTAGGGGTAAAGCCTTCGGGTAAAGGGATCTACTTAAAGGGTCATGGGACTTAGTAACTAGGCTTATAACTAAGGTAACTATACTTATAAGTACTTATAACCCCACTTAAGGTACCTATAACCCTACTTACTAAGTCCCATGATCCTCCAAGTATGAGGGTACCTTCAAAGGGTTCCTTTAAGGGAGCTATAGGGGTTTTGGGTTTAGGGTCCAGGTTGATGATACAAGCCCCGAATTACCCATAATAAGGAATATACCATAATTCCCAGAGTCTAGGGTCATCAAGGTAATGCAGGATGTATATCATCAACCGTAGGATTTAGGTTTAGGGTTTAGGCCTTAGAGTTTAGGGTTTAGGGTTTAGACGTTTGAGTTTGGGGTTTCGGGTTTAGACCTTAGAGTTTGGGGTATGGAGGGTTTAATTTGAGCCTTGGGGTTGGGGCTTTAAGGCTTATAGGGTTTAGACCGTAAGGTTTAGGACTAGGGTTTGGGTTTAGAGCTTCGTCTTTTTGGTTTAGACATGATAGAGTTTAGGACTAGGTAGGGTTTGGGGGTTGAGGTTTGGTTAAGTATCTTCAGACGAATTGAAGTTGCGGCACGTAGTGACCCTGTTTATTCTGCGACAGTTCGGTCTGCAGGTAACGGTGTGCAGAGGTGTTGTAGGTCCCCGGTGCCATCATGTTTGTCGCCAATCCAGAACCGTAGCGTTTTGTCCAGTTTTGTATGCCGCACAGAGCACTGTTTGGCCGTGTGGCATTGTCGGGGGGGTTGGTAATGTGAGCTCGTGATTGTTAAAGGTCCCCTCAAAAGAACGAAACTCGGCCCGGGACTCAACAATACAAGGTTCCCTCAATAGAGTGAAACTCGACCTGCACGCAATTATAAACTCCCCCTCAATAGTCCTAAACCCGTCCCGGTGTAAATAAGCAGTCCTACTACACAGAACAACTTCGACCCCGCCCCCCCAAACAACTAAAGATGATCAGGCAGGCGGCCCTCCCAACACTGTTGCGTGGTCTGGTTGTTCGCGGGGGGGGGGGGGGGGGTTATAATCAGGGAGGGGACCACATTATTGCCAGATGATCTGCATGCGCCGCAAGAAAATTGTAACACGCAAGAGTTATCACTGCACCCCCTTGCTTCTGTTGGCTTGCCGCACGAACTATTAGTTTTTACTCCCGAAACCCTAAGCCAGGGGGTTTTCGAAGAGAAACACCTTCCCAGAACTTGGGAGTGGCGTAATGAGGTGTCGACTGCAGCAGGTCCTGCCCAAACAAGAAAGGTTTCTTGGCTACATGACTGGGGCCCTTGTTAGTGTCGGGGCAAGGCTTTACAGGGTTTTAGGTTATGGCTTATGGGTGAAGGTTCTGCCTCGAAATTCGGTGGTGTTGGGCATAGTCAGGCCTTATGACTGTAGGGGTTTCTGGCTCGTATAGGGTGCAGGGTTTCAGAGTTTGTAGAGCAAGTCCAGAGTTTGGAGACTGGCACAACATGTGCTTTGAGTTTCAGGCCTTGTACTATTGATCTCTTCTCATCCTGCCCTTATGGGAAGTCTTGCCCGCAACAGAAAAATTGCTACTGTAGAAACCATAACATGTAGGTACTTAGGACCCTTCGGGCATTAACACGGCTTATAAACCTTAAGCCCTAAACCCTAGAATATTTGCCCGTATATCACGTGTGCTATAGGGAGCTTGCCTTCTTAACAGCCTGCACTCTATATAACCATCGCAAATCTCAACGCCGATTGCACAAGCCCCTGGACCCTACTCCCGTAACCCCATCCCAAAGGGTTTAAATAGGTACTTTGTAGTTTCTTGAACCCTTCGAAAAGTATGTACTATGCTATTCCTTGGAGCCTTTGACTCGCCAAGGCTGGTGTAAAGGCGGCTGATTGCGGCCTCCACGGTTGTTTCGCACCGAATCTGTTGGAGACTTAGAAATGAACCCTATGGCGTGCAACTTGATTGTTGACTGGTTTTGGAGGCCCATACGCTGGGGAAGCCCCGAGTCCCCTCTCCTTAACTGCATTGGTTCCTTTAAAGGGTCCCTTTAAGATTTCACCGGTCCCTGTAAAGGGTACTACAGGGTTCTATATAACAGGCTCCCCTTTAAAGTGTACTATAGGGTTCTACAATAGGGTTCCCTGCAAAGGGTGCATAAGGTTCTATGACAGGGTTCCCTTTAAAGGGGCTTCTTTAACGGGTGCCCTTCTGATTTTGAACCACACGTGTCAAACCCTGAAGCTTGAACCCGCGATCGCAAGTCTTCAAACTTCAAATGCGCCTGCTCTGAACCCGAAGCTCTAAACCGTCATAAAGCATTGTAGATCCCCTGAGTAGCGCTTTGTATTCACCCTTCTAGTAGACCTAAACCGGCATGAGCTGTGCAAATTTTGGCGTCTGCGGACCCTGGACCTAAACTTCAAGCCGAATATATAGGGGCCTTCATAATTCAGACACGGTTTATGAGTTCTTGCTGGCTTTTGGTTAAGGATCACATATGTTTCCATGGTTTCATAATGTATGGAGCCTCCACATCAACGTTAAGCATAGGGCTTGACAAATATGGTATAAGTCCTGCTTTACCCATATGCCATAATTCCCATAGTTTAGGGTCCTTAAGGTAATGCAGGATTGATATCATCAACAGTATTGACGCTTCACCCCCCCCCCCCCCCAAGCCCTGCGCCTCCAACTCTACACCTGCAAGGTAATCTGACTTCCCATGCAACCAGAGAAGAGTTCGACAATGAAAATCTCTGTCCCGAGGCTCCCAATCCCGTAAACCCACATCCAGAACAATCAACCTCCAAGAGAGGAGAGCCCTAAGCCCTAAAAGCCCTAAACCCCTAAAACCCTAAGGCCCTTAACCCTAAACCTCAACCGGTAAGCCCCAATCACAAAAGCTTTCTGCAGCGGGCCCGAAGGATTCGCATGTACCGGATGATTTTAGTAATCTAGGGGCTCAAAGTTCTATAATATAGGGGCCTAAGTAATTAGCAATACTATTTTCCTATTCTAATCATTAAGGCCCCTATATCATAGTAGTGCTCCCATCTGGGGACCACAGGGAAGGCGTGATCTGTGACATGCAGAGAGTCTGTTCGAACACAGATCACCCCAAACCCTAAACCCCCCATGCAAGTACTAGTAAGGACTAACACAGAATAGGGTCCATATTTGTTAGGCTAGGGTCATATGGCGTAGGGAAGCAATAATGCCTAGAGCTTTGACTTTAAGGTTATGGCTGTAGGGCTAAGGATGTAAAATGCCTAAGCCTAAAGCTTTTTTTCACAGACCCCGGATCTAGAAAGTAGATTTCCTAATTTGGGACGCTATACTACTAAAGGGTACTTAGTAAGAACTCCCCTTCAGGGATCTACTTTCTAGATCCTCCCACCCAGAGACTCCAATGCCGCAAAATTAAGGAATATTCCTTAAATCATATTAGGGACCCTGCTCTATTTTAAGGTATATTCTTTAATTAAGGGATATTGGAGTCTCTAGGCGGGGGTCTGGGTTGCTGTTGCTGCCGATGGTCCACGTGGGGGCATCAGAGCTGCTAACGACACTCGAGCCCGAGTTGCTCCGTGGAGTGCCACCTGGTTTTCCTAGTAGTCGAGTAGGTAACCTTTACCTTTTTTGGGTAGTATAGCCCCTATATAGTCCCTATACAACCAAAAAGGACCTGGTTCTCTAGGACCTAGAGCAGGCCCTTATTTCCTTTTTTGGGGGTTCAGGTTCCCTTACAAGCCCCCTTTAACCCAAAGAGGGCACCCTTTTATTCCTAGGTTACTCTAGAGTCTAGTTTTGGAGTGCCACAGGGTTTAGGGTTTAGGGTTTGGAGTAATATAGGGGGCCTTAAGAATTTGAAGGGGTTTTGGGGTCCTGGGGCCCATTTTATTAGAATTAGCCTGAGGAGCCCCCAAAACAGCATAAGTAAGTATGAAGGCCCCTATATTACCTGAAGACTTGTGCTAACCTGTTCCTTGTTTGAAAAGGAACCATTGCGAAATAAACGTCCATACTGTTTCTCGCTGGTTGCTTCAAAGTCCAGGCCACTACATGTCGCCTTGGCTGGGTGGGCTACTGGATCCGTGTTCAGGAAAACATTTCTTGGTGGAGGGTACTGGGGTTTAGAGCGTAGGATTTCGGGGTTGGGGGCCCGGCTCAGGAACTATATGGCAGTTTCCGAAAATTAGGGGTACATTATTTCCGGGTTCTTATAAAAAGGACCCTACTATTTAGGGTACTATATTAGGGTCCCCCATTTCTGGAAACTCCCATATCCCGAGGTCCCAGAGAAGACTTTGCTTTCACGCATATAGGCGAATGGTAGGGTAACGTGCTCTTTCTTGCAGCCTTTAAGCGGTCTACTTGGAGGGTCGGGGGACTTAGTAAGTAGTTTACCATAACCACAATTAGGGTCCCTATTACGGCACTTATAAGTCTACTTAGTACCTACTCACTAAGTCCCCCGACCCTCCAAGTAGGTTTCAGGCATCAGTCATACCGGAGATACGTTGTAACCATCGCAAGAGCACAGGCTAGGCATTGGAAGCCGCCAGATCCTGGAATGTTCAACGTGGATGCGTCAAACTATGCACTGAGCCGACAAGCCGATTGGTTTGATGATTTCCTCAGTCACGACTGGCACACCTCCCGCTTTTCGAAGCTTTGCACCCTCCTCGTCGTCTACAACTCGCGTGCAGCGCTTTTGGCAGCTTTTCTGGCTTGTCCTCTGATTGCTTTCAGTCGGACGGTGGGAGTGCTGCCGAACGATCGGCTGAGCTCGTGCTTAGTTTACGTAGTGCACCTGTTTGTCTTGTGCTTTTGGCAGAGACTCCGCAGCATCCTGCGCCCACCAATCATGGTCTTCCTGGACACTTGGTCACAGTTGGGTAACATTTTACGTTTTTGCGGGTACTTAAAAACCCAACATTTGGGTTTAGGGTTTAGGGGTTTAGGGTTGGTCATAATCCCCTGGGCTCCATGTACCCATATAGTATATACTTAGGCCTTAAACACCTATATAATTAGGGACCCCTTGAAGGCCTAAGTATCTACTATGAAGGTACATGGAGCCTTTGGGAGTCGGGTAACATTTTACATTCTTGTGGGTACTTACAGTCAATATGGCATAAAGGTTTGAATTTTCAATCCTATCCCAACCATGAGCTAGGACAAGCTCTGCATTGCCCAAAGTCCAGAACAAGCCGAGCTGAAGGAGAAAGGTATTCTTGGATTAGCTGCCTTCTTGAACCATTCCAAGCGACTTGTGGTGCTGTGGTCGCCAAGGTCTTTTGGCACATTTTCCAGAAGGGTCCTTAGCCTGAACGCCTGAAGGATCTAAGGTTTAAAACCCTAAAACCCTAAACCCCCAGACCTCAAGCCCTTATAGCCCTATACCCGTATCCCTAAGCCCTAAAACCCACCCTAAACCCTAAACCCTAAACCTTAAAAAAAAAAAACCCTAAACCCTAAAACCTAAAGCCGCTCGCCATGGCCTTGTGGCGAAGCTTCCAGAAGGGTCCAGGCACTCACGCGTCAGACTTTCCGGCTTTTTAGGGGCACTTAGAGTTTACCAAAGGCTCCATGTAGCTTTATAGTAGATACTTATTCAGCCTTAAAGGGGGTCCGTATATAGGTACTTTAAGGCCTCAGTATATACTATATGGGTACATGGAGCCTTAGGGTTTATAGGGCTTTGGGTTTAGGGAGGATCTCAAAATTAGATCCCCTATTTCGGGAATCTACTATATACTGAAGAGTTTTCGTAGGTGCATGCTTAAGGGATCTACTTGTTGGATCCTCCAAAAGGGGTCCGGGTTGGCGGTTGGGTGCCAAAACACACAACTGAGTGAATTTCAGCAAATATGGCGCCCAGTAGAAATGTAGACGCGTAAGCCCTTAACCTTAGGCCGTGGGTAAATCCTAAACCCTAGAGGTCGTAAACCCTAGTTTTCTTGGACCTTTAAAGCGAGTCTCAGGATTTTGGGCTTAGTGTTTTGGGAAGTGCTACTGATTGTATGTGAACCAAGGTTTGTTTTGTGCTTTGTTCTGGGGTTGCCAAGGAATTCTGAGGGTCTTATATCTTCTTCCAATTTAAGGGTTTCCGCGTAGGGTCTTTATATTCAAGATTGCACCATGTTGGGTTCTATCAAAGTGTCCTGTATTCCAGAAACTCCAATGTAAAACGTTCATTGTTATTCGCCAGTCCGGGTTGTAAACTATTCAGCCGCATCTTCGAAACTTGCCACAGAGCCAACCATAAGCCTCGAACCCCCCAAACTCGACTGTACCCGAAAGCCCGAACCTTAAATTCCATAACCCCTAGAACCCCTACCCGGACCCTGAAGCACCTACGCCTTTTCAGGATTCAGAAAAGGAAATCAGAGCAAGAAGCCCGAAAGGGTGGTTATATGGGGTTCAGGTGGGTCCTACGGTGGATGATATACATCCTGCATTACCCATAATAAGGAATATGCCAGAATTCCCAGAGTTTAGGGTCCTTAAGGTATAATGCAGGATTTATATCATCAACCGTGTTACCGCGCTACCTGCCCGTCAATCTGCCAATGCGTTTAGGTACGGTTTGTTTTGTAGGTGGCTGCAGTCTCATGCGCAACAGGGTTTTGCAACGGTTTGTGGGGTTGACAGTGCGGGGTTTTTTAAGGGCATTTTAGGAGCGTTTGCAGTTATCGTATCGAAGCGCGTGCGAAACGCGGATGTGTGGGATTTTTTGTAATGCTTAAAGGACTGCTTCTCATAAATCTGAGACTCCCCTCTGGAAGGTTACTACCTACAGTCTCCGTTGTAGTTCCTTTTGGGGGCTACTTTATAGAATTCTACATATGGGTAGTTGTCAAAATTAGGGTCCCTTTTTGGGTGCCTGAAATATTAGGCGCCGTATTATATTCAGGACCCAAAAAGGTACCATAATTTTGACAACCACCCATATAATATTGGTTAAACCAAAATGAGGAACTACAATGGAGACTGTAGGTACTATTTGTTAGCGATTATGTAGGGCTTTATGCTAGCCTAGGGTGTCTCACTGATTGAAAAGTCAGCAAACGCACATGCATACAGCGTAACTCAGAAACCTCCAACCCTTAACTCACAAACCTTAAACACTAAACCCTAAGCCCCTAAACCCCTGATCCCATAACCTATAACCCCCTTATACATCCCTTTAAAGGAACTCTTATAGATCAGCTATAGAGCCCTTTAAACCCTAAATCTTAAGCCCTAAACTCCTGCAGTAGAAGCCAGAAAGTTGGAACATCATTAGCCTCATGCCCTTACAGTAAAGTATTGGGAATCCCAGCATGAATCATCCTAAATCTATGTTCTAACGTTCTGGGGCTCACTGAATGGCAGAAGTAAGATCTTTTAAACCCTAAACCCTTAACTCCTAAACGTCTGAGGTACTTCAGCCGAGCCTGGGCATCTGGGGATGGCAGGTTGTTTCCTTTTTCCCGCATCGGGTTCGGGGTCTACCTATAGTCTCCATTGTAGTTCCTTTTGGGGTTACTTTAATTATATAATATTGGTTAAGAAAAGGAACTACAATGGAGACTGTAGGCAGGCCTTAGGGTTTAGGGGCTTTGGGTTTAGGCGTTTAGCATTTAGGGTTTAGGAGTTTAGAGTTCGGTTTAGGGTCTAGGGCCTACCTGAATCCCAAATAACCTACCTTTGTAAGGACGTGTATAAAGAAGTCATATTAGGGATTCCTAAAGAGGAAGGCTGTTTGGGGTCCAGGTAGGGTTTAGGGATTCGGGTCTTGGTGTGTGTGGGTTCACTGAGATGTTCCAAATCCTTTAGGGAAGGCACCTGCAATCATATTGGGGTTGCGGGCCCTACTCTTCCAACAGCCCAAAGACTCCAATATCCCTTAATTAAGGAATATTCCTTCAATTATAGTAGGATCCCTAATATGATTTAAGGAATATTCCTTAGTTAAGGGATATTGGAGGCTCTGGGAGTGTCTTCCTTGACGAAGCCCTGGGCCCTAAACCCTAAACCTTTCCTTATCTGAGGGATGTTGGAAGATCTGAATGTGTTTAGCATTGACCCCTTGCCCAGGATTATGGTGCGCATACGAGATTGCGGCCTTTCTCACGGATCACAACAAGCACAAGCACATATTAATCATGCCGGTTCATGCCGGCATCACCATCCTTTTGGCCTTCTTCTTTTTCAGCTGGATGTCGTCCTCTTTGCTCGTCGTTCTGGGGTTGCTCCGATACGGTGCTCTCGGATTTCAATTGGGCCAGGACAATATATGGATGGTGGTTGGAGGGGCGATGGTTTGGGTAATTGTTCCCGCCATTTTAGTCGGAGTGCCTTTTAGCACCTTGAGTTTGCGCATGGCCAAGCACCTGCATCGCGTGCCAAAGCAGCTGAAGACCTTTGATGTCCAGAGTGCCGCATGTTATCTGGCGTTCTTCTGGTGGGCCCTTGTGATTTAGGACTTAGGGTTTAGGGTTCTTTTGGTGGGCTATTAGGACTTTAACTTTCTGTTTTTCTGTATGAACTATACGAGTGAGGCTACATGTTTAACTTTTGGGAGGGGTTCAGAAGTCAGCCAAGGTTTCTGTTGTGCCAATGACCACAAGCACCCGGACACAGGATGGAAGAGGGACAGTTCGACATCGAGTCTTGAGATTCCTCAGGGTTCCTTCTGATAAATACAGTCTTGCTACAATATACCCCAAAACCCCCCTTCTATGTATCAAGGCCCTATATGGGAGTTTCCGAGAATGGGGGACCCTAATATAGTACCCTAAATAGTAGGATCCTGATTATAATTATAAGGACCCCAAAATAAGGTACCCCGGTACCCCCCAAATTTTCGCAAACTCCCATAGGGATGTAAAGGGGTTAAGGTCTCACTTGGAGAGTCACGGGTGTAGGGTTTAGGGTTGATTCGGGAAGTCTTGGTGAACTGATGGCCGCCTTAGGGGTTTAGGGTTTAGGGTACCTCACGAAACAAGCCTAATTTTGCGCCACTTGTCTGCAAGGCTACGCAAAGGGTCATGCGACTTAGTAACCAGGGTTTTAATTAAAGTACCTATACATATAATTACTTAGAACCCCAAGTAAGGGGTAATTACTGACTAGGTCCGATGATCCTCCAGTAGAGCCCCGAAACGCAGCAAGCAGGAGCAGACATCCCGTGTGACCGAGAGTTGGTCTACCGCAAACTGGCAGAGTCTGGGCTGTCCAGTAGTGGATGTCGTTTTGAGGAGTTCGTATTAGCAAAGTCCATAGTTACCTAGTTTTATCGTTTCGGGGGCCCCAGACAGTAGATTTTTGTTTTGGGCTTCTTATTGCAATGTAAATGGGGGAATCGTAAATACTGATTCCAGTGGGCTACTGAATAGCCTAGGCGTGGTATGGCCGCCCCACGGACACCGACAAAGAGCACCTGGATCGGTTCAACTCCCTGGTCCATCACAGGCTATTTGGGTTTCGGATTGGATACTGTCTCCACTCTGTAACGATTGGATAGTACTTCAAAATACAAACAAATATGAATATGGACATCCATATATATATATATATATTTATATGGTAACCCCCTGTTGACCCACACTTACGGTTGATGATATGAATCCTGCATTACCCATAATAAGGAATGTCACATAATTCCCATAGTTTAGGGTTCATTAAGGTAATGCAGAATTTATATCATCAACCGTATCTATATCTGGTTTCTTAATTTATATTACTAGTTACATCTACCTTCATATGTAGAATGCATACATATATATATATATATATATAGATAGATAGATGTGGGAAAGGCCTATAAAGCTATATATCGCACTATATTAAGAGGAGGTAAATACCGCACTAGATTAAGAGAAAGTATATACATAATGAAGTCATGATGAACGATGAACGAGAGCAGTTTACTCATGAAGAAGGACAATACTGAAACATGAAAGAATCAAGCCTATACAGCACCTGAAATACCGTAAGACCAGAACAATCCCAAACATAATAAAGGCAACACCCAAAATACATACACAAAACGACAAAATCTGTCGGGTATGGTCAGATTTCTGTTGTTTTTTTGGTTGCTGGTGTGTTTTGTTTGTTTTTTGTTTTGTGTTGTTGGTGTTGTGTTTGTGTTGTTTGTTTTTTAACCTTTTTTAGTGTTTTGGTTGGGTACCTGATGCTCCGCGGTTGCGCTGTTGGTTCGCCGCACGGCATTGCTCCCACAAAGTCAATCACTCTGGATATCATGTGGTCTTCCCGTCTGTTGCGACTCGCGGGCAAACTGCGATGTGCATTTAATTGAGTTTTCGCCGCAATCTCTAACTTGGGACGATAGCAATGCTTTAGGGGTGGGGTGGGTGGGGGGGAAGCAGTGACGACGTTCTACGACCGCACACATATGAAAGGGTCGCACACATCTGTACGGGTCGTCGACATATGATCATGTGTACACAACGTCTGAGATCTATGTGGTGTTCATGGTATATAAAGACCTAGAAGTCACTGGCAACATGAGTTTGTCAGAGACTCATGAGTCTCATGAGGCATTTTGGGCACATGCTACATATAAGACAAGGACATACACCAGGCGGAGAATACATAGAACTCCTCCTGTACGTGTGGAGCATGTAAGAGAGACAGTGCATGCAGTACATCTTAAAACTGACACAAAGACGTTCTGCCAACCGGAGCAGGCACCCAAAAACCAGCTGCAGTGCTCGAGCCTGAGACAGTACGTGCTCCACATGTGTCTCTCTTACATGCTCCCCATGTGCAGTAGGTGTTCCATGAGTCTCCACTATGTGCCTAAAACGCCTAATGAGTCTCTGATGTAATTTCATGTTGTATGTGCCGTCTATGCCTTATATGTCAGGAATACCACATAGATCTCAGAAGTTACATACGCATGAAAATATATAGTCGACCCTTACATATGTATGTGCGATGCCCAGAACCTTAAGCCCCAGAACTCCGTGCCTTGGCCGCAAGTTTTAGAACTTACAGTGCTTCAACTTCACTTGTCGGTTCAGGTCGTTAATAGTTTTTGGGGCTGGTTCAAAACCCATTTGCTAAGAAGTTAGCGTTTTCACAGGAATTATTGCAATTCGTACCTCACGTCGCTACCAGGGTCCTGCGCGTGACCAATGAGTTTACCTACAACTCGTATGACCGACTTATGAACGACCCGGTCAGGTTGGGACGCTCCGTAATCAGACAAATGCCGCATGCCGTCCCCACCGCGCCTCTCATGTGCATGCTTGGTGCATCCACCATGCCGTGGCTGGCGGATGTCATAGAGAGGATGCTTTGGCGTGTCTCGATAGGGTTTTAGGATTCCTTCTATATTTTCTCTTATTGAGGTCAAGAGGGTCTTGTTGTGCAATTTGTCAGTGGCTTTACTTGGCCGACCGAGGTCTTCAAGTAGACCAGGACGCATGCAATCGATGCGAACTTCTATACTATGTTTGGAGCCATGTTTTTCTCGAATGGGCCTTTGTGGTCACAGTGGTTTTTGTAACAGGACTCCTAGCTGTGACACTGTCGACGGTCGCTGCCCGTACGTTTCCAAATATCCGGCACGCTTGGCGTCTTGGCGTGTTGGTGTTCATGCTCTTTGTTGCTCCTGGAGCGATTCTAAGCGGTAGCTTTTTCCTGTTGTTGTGGACCGCGGATACTGTGTGGCCTCCAACCATCGTCTTCGTTGTAGCACTGCTCCTGGGATCATGCTTTCTGCGGCCGAACCTCACAAAGAAGCGACTAGCAGGTGCGATTGAAGAGCTCGAATCCGACGTTACACCTACGGCTACCCCTCAGCCGAGTTTTTCCACACCGGAAGCGGGCGATGGGTCGATTTTCCGCATGCCATCCGACGTGTCCGTCTGGTCTGGCGGTTTTAGGATTTGATGTGGGGATCTGATTGCGAAACCCTGGGCCTATAACCCAAAATAGTAGGATTCATATAAGGAACCCTACTAAAGGCTTAAGGTTTCTTAATTGGGTTCCTACACTAGTGTGTATCTCAAGTTTCGGTCATTCCCAGGATTGCATGCTGCGAAGCAGCAGCAGTCACTCACGAAGACGTGAAGGCCTTTCGTCACGAACTCCTACCTTCCGTGATGTTCGTTGAAATTCGCTTGCCGCACGAACTGACGTTGTTGAAGCAGCTAAACTCCCAATGACTCTGGGCACCACATAGCATTCAGCACCGTACACAAATAGTTTTCGAACACTCCACTCTTGACGCACAGGTTTGCACTACTGTGAGTAAATCATGTGTCTTGGTCTGCCCAAAGACTCCAAAACCCCTTAACTGAGGAATATACCCTCCCGATATTGATTTAGGGTATATTCCTCATAGAGCCCCCAATAGATCCCTTTGAAGATTCCTTTTAAGGAATCCTGAGGTATGTTCCTTAATCAAGTGCTTTTGGAGCCTCTGGGGAAAGTCCGTGACTTCCCAGGCCGGGCTATCGGCCAGAAAGGACTAGGGACGCAGGAGGGTTTAGGGCTTAGGGGGACCAGGGTTTCGGGCTTATATAACGGCTTTTGGTTTGGGCTCTAAGGCTTTAGGGTCTTAAGTCTGTAGGGCTTTAGGATTTTGGGGCTTTACCGGGTTCAGGGCTTAAAGGCTTAGGGAGACTTATGCCTAATTGTGACTGCTCAACATGCTCTTTGTGCATGGGTTCCGTGCAGCTTGGGCAGGCTACTTGAAGTTTTATGCATACTCAAAGCTCCAAATCAAGGTAGTGATACCATGCGTATATAGGTGTATATACGGTACCTTCAGTAGAGCCCAATCGTAAACTATGCATGAGCTCAGTTTGAAATAAGCCCTCTGTTTTAGACCTAGTTCCCCATACCCTTCCTAAGCCCCAAGCAGCCCTGAATCCCCAAGCCTTTCAATTTAAATTTGCCCCCGGGAACAGTAACAATCCTAAACCCTAGACCCTAAACCCCTAAACCCCTAAACCTTCTAAACCTTCTAAACCCTTAAACCTTCTAAACCCCTAAGCCCCTAAACCTTCCAAACCCTTAAACCTTCTAAACCCCTAAACCCCTAAGTTTCCCCCCGGGAACAGTCTTGCGGTAAGTTGTGTCTGTGTGCCCAAAAGGGGCCGGGCGGTCGTGCGAGCGAAAGTTCAGTGTACATAAAAGAGTCCGAAGGGTTTAGGGTTCTTTGAGGGGTCTACAGGGGATCTATAGGGTTCTATGAGGGGTCTAGAGGGAATCTATAGGGTTCTATGTGTGGTCTAGAGGGGATCCTTATTAAGCCTTATTATAACTATAGTACTAGAGTATAGCTCAAAACCCTATTCCAATTGCTAAGGCCCCTGCATTGTGTTTTTTTGCGTACCATTCTGTGTATACGTTCTGAATCCCCTGGCTCCAGGTGCTCATGTAGCACGTACTTTGGCGCTAAAGTGCCTATCCAGGTATTAATTTAAGGCCGAAGTATGAAACTGAATGGGTACATGTAGCCTTCGGGCTAAAGACTTCTTACGGACGTACGGGGGTTCAGGGTTTAGATTTTAGGGTTAAAGCGCGATGGTTGCGAAGCTAGAAACGGGTTCTTGGTACACAAAACCCCTCTATCTGCTTTTTGGGTGCTTGGACACTAAGAAGCTTGATACCTGGTCTTCCATCAAGCCCTGAAGGCACGCAAAGGGGGAACGCCGTAAATCCATGCCCTTATTTGTTCTGCGTCTTCCGACGCAAAGGATTGGTGGCAAATCCTTGTGTCGACGAGAGGAGGCAGCCCTTGGTGCGTCTTCTGAGGCTTCGCAGGGTGTTCCTAAAGACTTATTGCCGGCATCGTAATGATAGAGTTGTTGAAGCAAGGTCCTCAGACTCAGGGATTGCTTCAGGGTATACAGCGATATGCAGCTTCTGTTATTCTGGTTATATACCCAAACTCTGAAATAGACTGTCCGTCCGACATGAAGAGATGTTTTTCACAGCCATGGTGGTCTTGACCAGCGCGCAATTGGGTCCATACACGCTGTTCTGTACTGTTATGGAATAAGCTCCCAATAAACCACGTATTCGATATGTCCAGGTCCTATGGAGGTTAGGGCTTAGGATTTAGGCGAAGACAAGTAATTATGCCAAACTCCATGTGGCACTATAGCAGGGCGAGTAATTTGGAATACGGTTCCTTAGGGTTGCTGAACGATTACAGTAGAAGCCAAAAAGTTGGAAACCCAATAGCCTCAGTCCTTAAGAGTAATGGATAGGGAATCCCAGCACTATTTGGCCTTAACCCGGTTTCCAACTTTATGGAGTTTACTGTAACTATACCCTAACCCAAGCACATAAACAGGTGGGTGTCAAGGTTCCAATCCATTCGGAGTATGAATTTGGACCGGAAACCTTACTACTTGGGCACTCGGAGCCTCTGGGATACTCTATTCGACCCCAGTGCCACATTCTAATTGTTTCTATCTGTTAAGATTAATTTTATTTTTGCTTCTGATTGTTGTTACTATGATTAAGGCTCTTTGCAACATAGCCTGACAGTATGTCACATGAGCCTTACAGTCGTAGTCCCAACAGCAGCGAGACCACCTGCTCTGCTGCAAATCAAGGAGTACTTTCTGAACCATTGTGTCCGTACCTATTTAAAGGGTCATGGGACAGCTTAGTAACTAGGGTTATAATGAATGTAATTATTCTTGTAGTTACTTGTAACCCCAATCAGAGCACTTATAACCTTACTAACTCAGTCCCATGATCCTCCAAGGATGGGCTGAAGGGGCAGGGAAGAAATTTCGCAGAAGGCGCCTTATCTGTACATTGCATTCTGAACACTCCCAAAGGGTCCTAAGTACCTGTATGGTAGATGTAGGGTTTCTATATTAGGAATTACTGTTATGATCCAGGGAAGTATCCCCATAACCGTGCATAGGACCCTGTAGGACTGAACGCTGAAACCCAAACTCTGGCACCTAACCCCTGAACTCTCTGCCCTAAACCCTAAACCCCAACCCTTTACCCTAAGCCCTACACCCCAAACTTTGAACCTTAAACCCGAAACTCTAAACCCTAAACCCCAAGCACTGAATCCTGGACTCTCAGCCCCACAGCAGGCGACACAGTGCAAAGCTGAGACCAGTGAGGTCCTTGTGCAAGGGTGTTGGAGTGCCCGAAGGCCCGATAACAAAGCCCCTGAACCCCGTAAATGAATGAGAATACGTTTGGGTTTGGGGTTTACTTAGGGGTACTTAGATTTTTTTGATTATTGGTTATTATAATCCCTAAGGAACGGCAAAAATTATAATTCTTGCTAGGGTGCTAAGTTCTGTATAGTTTAAAGGTGTAGCACTGTTTATTTGGTTCAGGGATTAACGGCATAGTTGAGGTTTAGGTCTGACGAGGATGCCGCGAAGTCTGCATAAGCGCCTAGAACGACCCCTGCCACCCCCTAAACCCAACAAACCCTCAACCCTACCAACCCTAAAACCCTACAAACCCTAAACCTTCTATATGCCCTAAAACCCTAAATCGGAGCTCGAAAGCCTTGTCCCTGAAGTCTTTGCTTCCGAAGCCGAAGCCGGCAACCCCACAACTCCATACTTAAAGGGTCATGGGACAGTTTAGTAACTAGGGTGATAACTAAGGTAACTGTACTTATATTTACTTCCAATCCCAATTAAGGTACCTATAACCTTACTTACCAAGTCCCATGATCCTCCAAGTACTCTACATCCTTAACTGCAAGTATCCCCCCCCACTAGGATGCCCAGTAGTACCCTTATTCCCTTTTTGTAGCCCTAGGTTCCTTACAAAGTTACCCAATACCAAAAAGGGAGTCGTTTTTATTCCTAGGCTACTGGGCATCTTAGCCCAAGTAAACGTTAAACAAGACCTACGGGGTCCTTATTAGAGGGTACTTTGGGGAATAAGGGGTACTCGGAGGTACAATCCAAGGGGGGCCCGGGGGTCTAACCCAATATCTCGATGTTTTTCTTGCGGGGCAGCCAAAGTACGAATGAGAGTATTCGGAGCTTAGGGCTTGCAGGGTTTTGCTTTTTATGGTCCTTGGGTTCAGGTATTAGGATGTAGGGTATGGAGCTTTGGTGTTTGACAAGGGCCTACCTATGGTTCTACAGCGCATTTCAGCCCTATATGGAGACAGTAGCTACCTATCCTAAAACCCCAAGCCCCAATCCCCAAATCCTAAACCCTAAAAATCCCTAAGCCCTAAAACCTCACTGCCTACATAGCTACGTGGGCTTGTGGGCCCTTGAAGGTTTTGGCCAAGCCGACTCCAGGTCGTGGCGGATCAGTTCCGCCCAATTCGCACATCTTCCGACAGCGTTGCACTTAGGAAGGGTTTAGGGCAGCCGTTTTAGGGATGGGGTTTAGGCTTTTAGGGCTTAGGTTTAGTCAAGCCCTAAACATCCGAAGTCCTACACTTGTAGGCTGACGGGGGGCTTTAGTCTGCCAGACGGAAAAGAGCCCAGCACAAAACGCACACCCAACTACCGTCTACTATACCCTCCAAGTACGCCTTATTACGAATTAAGCCCTATATCCCAAAGCCCGAATCCTAAACCCCAAGTCTTACACCTTAAGTCCCGAAGCCTATATCCTGAGCCCTATGCTACGTCAACTTTATCGGAAGATGTGGGAACCACTGCTCGCAAGCGAGTTTCGAGTTTCGATCCTGGGCCTTCCAGTTTAGGGTCCACCTTGTCTGGGGGTTTACTTACAGTGGAAGCCAGAAAGTTGGAGCATTATCCTTATGCCCTCAAAGTAAAGTCTAGGGAATCCCAGCAAGAATCAGCTTAAATCGATGTTCTACTTGTCTAGGGTTTACTTAGATAGCACGGAGCAGAATTTTAAGCTTTTTGGCCTTATGTATTTGTTCTGGCTTGCAGAATTTGAACTTGTTTGGGCTTGGT